TAACCTTGATCACTCATTATTATTTGTCCTTAAGTTTGACCCTTGATATAGGTAGTCGATATATATATATATGCGCGCTATTCCTTTTCTCTTTGGTTCGTTATGTAGCTTAGTTGTTATACGTGTGTGTGTGTAAGTGTGACGGATGAAGATGTACGTGTATGAGGACATTTCTTTGATTTAGTAAAAATAAATGGAAGAAGATATATAACATCAGATCCCTAATATATGTATATTGGTCAACAATATTTGGAGTCAATGACGATAAAACGTAAACTTCTTAGGCCTTTCTGTGATTCATCTGCTATATCTCGGTTAATAATGGCTCTATAAATTTTGTTTTTGTATCAAGGAAACGAGAACAATTTCTGCATCTAATCATATAAAAAGAGATCTTTATTTATAATAATAGTTCTCTTCCTTTTTTATTTATAAATTATATTGATGTTTCGATCAATGAAATTGATCTTCTTCAGAAATTCTCGAATAATTAAAATGATTAAATTATGATAAATAAATGTGCATAACAAAGTAAAACATACAAAGCAGATAAAAGAGTAAAAATACAATCAACATGATGAGTCATATATACTTGTCAAATCTATTGTTTCTTTTCTTTATATATATACTGGCACGGACAAGACGGTAGAGACTGAAATTCTTTTTCTTCTGTATTTTGTTGTCCGTACCAGTATTACCGTCTTGTCCCAACTACGTTTGTAATTGTTGTGTTTGTTTGTGCTTTAAGATGTTGTTTTTGTTTGAAACGTATTTTTTTCCTGATTTTTTCTTTGGTGATTGAGTAATATTCCGTTCCACATGTTGTTTAATTTATCGTGTTTGTTGATTGATTGGTTTATGAACGAAGGGTGTGGGTGTGGGATGTTATTCATAAGAGACCCACACCCTCACCCACACCCACACCCACACCCCACACCCACACACCCACACCCACACCCACCCACACCCATACCCACACCCACACCCTTTTTTTCTGTGCGGTTGCTGAGCTCCGTAATGGAGAGGGAGGCGTTGTCAAAACTTGAACTGAAAACTTCCAATCACTATTTTCTGCGACAATATGCGTGAATTCCACAAAATTATAGTAACAGATACGTACGCCGATTCAATATTCATCAACGACTGATAGTACATCCAACTTATTTTCGATATAAAATTGGAAATGATGTTTCAACTTGAATCAGTTTTAAACTAAATGTAGTGATATCCGCAAAGACTAAACGAATTTTATATTATCCGTATATTGCAACCTTTTCTCTCTATTTAGGAGCCGCAATAATCACACTTATGAAGATACATCACTTGTATAGACTAATGATTCACGTTTCATCTCTCTCTTCCATGATACTCAAAAGCATGAGAATAACTTTTCCTTCGCCAAACTTACACAGTTTGATGAAAAATACTGTGTGCTAGTCTTAGTGTCTCAGAAGAGGATATGAGTATCAGTTTGAACTGGTGTGAATCTTTTCTTTTCCGTAATACCCGAGCCCACACCATTACCATTTATCAACAGAAAAAAATTACTTCTGGAAGGAAAAAACAATATTAATCAATAATCAATGCATATAAGTGTTCGTCAATATCTTGTCCATTTTTGTATATACGTTTACGTAATATTCCTTCAAATACGAAACCACATTTTTCTACAACACGCATCGAAGCTTTATTCCATGGAAATATTGTTGCTTCAATCCGAACTAAATTTTTCCATTCAATTTTTATTATTTCAATCGCTTTGTTGACAGCTTTAGGCATCAAACCACGATGCCAATACAGCTCACCTAACCAATATCCAATATCTGTTTTTCTTTCATTTTCAATAGAACGAATAAGACCACACACACCTATCAATTCATCATTTGTCTGCAAACGAATACTAAAAATACGTCTTGAATTTGATGAGTTTGATTTGATCTTTTGAATAAAATCTTCGCCATCTCTAGTTGTATATGGATATGGTATTGTTAATGTGTTAGCTGCTATTATTGGATTATTAAGATATTTAACAAATGAAGGAATATCTTCATTTGTTAATAGATCAGTCATATATATTTCATCATCAATATCATACCGACTTGATGCCATTGTATTCTAAAAGAAAAATAAGAAAAACGTTTTTTTTATTTGCTCGATTACGACAGGTTACCATTTACAAGTCTACTTATATATATATGAAGCCAAAAGAAAAAGAAAAAAAATGATGAAATTCTTCACGAGGCATTTTTGTGTATTTCGTCATCGTTTCTGTCATCAGTTCTGTGTGATGGCAGCTGTAAAGCAAATGTAATTGATGTTGTCAATCCTTGACTTCTTACTAAAATGGTGACTATTAATTTCACTATACAAAACAGGTGCAACGATTTTAACAGTTTTAAGTTCATTTCTAAATGAATTAGTTGCTTTTTGCTAAGGTGTGGATGTGGATGTGAGTGTGGGTGTGGGTGTGGGTGTGAGTGTGAGTGTGGGTGTGAGTGTGAGTGTGAGTGTGGGTGTGAGTGTGAGTGTGGGTGTGAGTGTGGGTGGCTGGGTGTGGGTGTGGGAGTGTGGGTGGGTGTGGGTGTGGGTGTGTGGGTGTGGGTGGGTGTGGGGTGTGGGGTGGGTGTGGGTGGTGTGGGTGTGCGTGTGGGTGTGGGTGTGTGGTTGTGGGTCATCTTTTAATGCATACCGACACCCACATATCCATACCAACACGCTTCACCCACACCCACCCACACACCCACACCTACACCCACCCACACCCTCGAATAAAATCTTGTTAAATTTGATTTATTTTGAAATTTTTCATGACCATCTTTAGCAGCATTAGATAGATTTATTTATTAAAATATAAAGAAAATAAATATTCGCGTGCTTGGAAAGTCCAGTGAGAGTCTATCATATATCGACACCTCATTTCCTACTGGGAAATGTTACACGAACTTTTCAAATATGTTCATTCAATTCTCAAAAGGAAATTAGTCGAGAGTAAAATCTTCTATTTATTCATTCAAACGAATCAATTAAATATGAAAAATATTCAAAGGTAATATTTTATCTTTATTTATGTGTAAAACTTTATCAAAAAATCGTCTATCTTATCTTTTTTTTCTTAGAAAAATTATTTTTTATAAAATAATTTCATAACTTTTATTATTTAAAAGGAAAAGTCATAAAAATTTTTAATCTTAATGTTAGTCATCTTTTTATAAATATATATACAGTAAAACCTCTCCATAGTGGACACCGTTGGGACTTTTCAAAAGTGTCCACTGAAGAGAGGTGTCCACTATATAGAACTAAGGTCTTTTCTAAGATAACGCTATTATAGACGGAGTAAATGAGTTTTATATTCATTTGAAAATTATTAATGAATAGATATCGAACGCTATTGTTCATTTTTACTTCTCTTTGCATTCATTTTTGCTTTTGGAGGAATGGATAGTCGTTAAAGTATAGTTAAACTCACTACTGGATACTGTTAGACTTATCAAAAATCTTCATTATATAGAACTATATGGTAATGTCCATTATAAAGAGGTTCATTTCCAGCGAAAAGTAACACTTGGGACTTTCAAAACTGTTCACTGTACGGAGGTGTCCATTATGATAGGTTCCATACTGTACATGTATAATGAGAAAAAAAAGATACTCTTTTAATTTCAAGACATGACTGAAATCAATCAGCAAATATTGTTTCAAATGATAAAACAGAAGAAATAATTTATAAAGAATCACCCAAGGGAGAAAAAGCGAGATTTCAGGCTTAAAATACTTCACTTGGACGTTAAATGCTGTCTGAAGTAGATGAAGTCTCGCTTTTTCCCTTGAAACCACCACGTTATGGATTTTTAAATCCATTAGCATAAAATCAAACATGTGAAAATTCATTAAATACTTTTTTCTTAGTGTTAATCGTAAACTCGCATATATACCGGACTGTTTTCCTAATTATTTTAGTCAATCATCAAGCGTATCATGTTGTTATTACTACTAATTTCACTTTCATATCAGCAGAGTTGTCACAAAAACTACACAACGTAAAGAATGTTACTATATGTTGAAGATAAAAATCATCTTCACATATATCTTTTTTTCGATGTTTTTTCTGTTGATATTTTTCTTTCAGCCTTTTTCCCTTTCGACGATAATTCATTCGACATTTTTCTCTTCTATAGTTTCCTCTTCTATCATCTATTTTCCGCCTTTTTTTTCCGATATTAGTCCATTCCATTCGGTCTAATGATGACGGTCAATCATCACGTAGACTATTTAAAAGTGCATCATAATTGTTCTTACTGTTGACGACATCGGTCAAATGCGAAAAACAAACATATAAATAAATGTGTTAATTTTTTTAATAAGAAACGAAAAAAAAATGCAATTGAATGATTTACCCGACGAAATACTTCTACTAATTTTGAAAGAACTACATAGTTGTGAAGTACTTTATTCTTTTCATGATATTAATCAACGATTCAATAGAGTTATACATGATCCAATATTTACAAGTCGTTTGAATTTTGTTAAATGGTCATGCCATAAAATTGTCAATAAATTTTCTTCTAATCTTATTGATCAATTTTCTTTACAAATTTTACCCGAAATTTGTAAAAGAATCAAATGGTTTAATCTTGAATCATCATTTATGACACGTTTTTTATCTGCTAATAAATATCCTAATTTATGTGGACTTGGCCTCTACAATGTTGACGAAGAAATAATCAACTTTCTTTTTACTGGTATGAATACTTTCTAGAGATAATACTCTCAAATTTAAGATCATCTTTCAATCATTCGATTGTTTCTATTAATTTTTAATATAGAATCAATGTTAATATAAGATAGATTTTTAATTTAGATAATAATCTTTCATCTGATATTTTCAAAAATCAAATCACATCGCTTGTTGTTGGAATTGATTCAGAAAAAAAGAATTCGTCAATAGTAGAAAATATATGCAATAATCTATTCACAATGATGAACAATTTAATTCATTTAACATTTTATGATGCATCATATAGAAATATTGTTCGATTTATAACCGTTGTTCCCTCTCCCAAATTTTCTTCATCAACTTTATTGACATTAAATATCAAGGCACACAATTTTAATGATTTTCTCTATATTCTTGATGGTCGTTTCAATAACCTTCAATCACTTTATATTGATTTGTTCTTCATCAATACAAATCAAAAATCAAGTTAGTTTAATAATAAAAGATATATTCATTTTTTTTTTGAATTTTCTAGAGAAAAATTCCAAATCTCAAGTGTTTTAATCTGTCATGTTTTTTGGAAACATTCAGTTATGATACATTAATTGTTCCACTTCTTCATCGAATGTTGAATTTGGAAAAACTTGGTTTATATATTATGACTTATGTCAAGGAAAGATTTATTGATGGAAACAGTTTGAAAGAAGATATTCTTTATCATTTGACAAAAATGAAACATTTCGATTTTGATATTTATTCAAATATATATATGGAAAATCAATTGAATTTTCCATCAAAAGAAGATATTCAACAGACATTTAAAGATTTTCCATGTACAAAAGTAATATCTTGTGTTGATTATATTCATAAGCGAAAACAAGTACAATGTCATGTTTATTCATATCCATTTCTAATGGAATTTTATGAACAAATAACAAATAATTTTCCAGGCGGATTTTATCCATATGTTCGCATAGTGTCATTATATGACGTACATCCATTTGAACATGAATTTTTTCTTCAAATTTCTCTTGCATTTCCATTGATGGGCAGATTAACTTTGATTAATTATTGTTCACAAAATGTTAAACAATCGATCGATATTAATCAGAATTTTGAAATTATCCGATATTATCATCTTATTGAACTTGACATTGGACAATGTCATGATGATTATACTGAAGAGTTTCTTCTTCATACAAAAACATATTTACACAATTCAATCTCACTTGATATTGATTTGGAATCATTAGCAAGAATAACACAGAATTTTACAAGAAATGAAACACGAATTAATTGTAGCAAAGTAAATGAATTATTTTTATATGGAGAAAGCGAAAATTTGATTCAATCTTTACAAAATTATTTTCCTTTTGCAGAAATTGATTGAATGTTATTATTTTGTGTACGGTTTGGAGGAATAAAAAAATATTTTTTTGAAATAAAAAAAATGATCATTTGGAAGAAAGTGAATTTCATTCAATAAAAATATTTAATTCGTACAAGGCAATGAAATCTTAATCTATTAACTATGAATTTTTTTTGAAAATCTATGATCCATTTATATCACAACAATTTGTGGAAAATTTATAGAAAAGAATAATATCTGAAAAACTTTTGACAATGTCACAAAAATAATGTTTTTGTAAATGAATTAAGTATTTCAAACTATTGAGTTGAAATAATCGATACAGTACGACGTGCTTTATGCATTGCAGAGATCGATAGAAGAAAGATTTTTCTGTTCCTTTCCGCCTCCTTCTTATCAAAATTTTTCATGAAGTCATTTTTGAAAAATGAATAGGCCGGTAATATTTTCTGTTGTATATCGATTCTCTCAATATTTATTTTTATATTAAAATGTTTTATATAATTTAAAAGGGTAATTTTTTTCAAGTCTATTTTAAAAAAAATGTAAAACTTGTGTTTGTAATATGAAAAATTTTTTGACCATTTTCTGTGTGAAAAACAAATGCATGTTTTTGATAAATTTAAGCAATAAAAGAATTTAGAAACATTTTCATGTACGCAATTTTGTAGAATTCAATTAAGTTCCATCAAAATAAAACTGTCACATAATTGTATAGTTTCGTGTATCATAAGTGAAATAATCAGAGTTACAAAAACAATGTGCAGTGTGATTTTTTTATCACAGTAGTTTGCTCGCTTCTATTATATTCTATTTTGAAAGAATTTTCCTATTATATATGTATATATAGATAATACTCGTTCTGCACTATCAAATGACAAAAATAAACTTGAATTATATTCATGGGCGGCGGAGCCATTAGGCTTGGGGAGGCTCGGGCCTCCCGTAGAAAAATATATGGGAGGCTTGGGGAGGCTCAAATACTAAAAAATATTTTAAAGATATAATCGCAAGTTTACGTCTTATTAACGAGGGTGGGGTGTGGGTGGCAGTCTTCCATCTACATCCACACCCACCCCTACACATCCACATCCACACCGTTGATCATTGTCTCTTTTTTAGGTTCAATGGAATGATTCATGTCGAAAAATTTTATCACATGAATTTAATTCTTTTTCTTAATCGATTATCATGGACACATTGGTTTTTTGTATTGAAGCCAATTTTTTTCTGTACTCCCACTTATGTAGGTGTTGTTTCTTGTGAATACGCATGTAAACAATGAACAGAGGTTATTTTCATGTCCCAATATGATGCTAGTGTCTTGATTGGCGCTGAAACTGGTGTATTTCTGTATTTTTTTGTTACTCTTTGACTGTGTTTTTTTTGTGAAATATAATTTATAATGATAATAACCAGTCATGTAAACTAAGGCTTTGTCTTATGCAGGTAGATCGTTTAATAACAGAAAGTATATTCAGAGAAAGAGGCAAAGAAAGGGTGTGGATGGGTGTCGGTGTACAAGTAAACACTTACTTACTTCACCCACGTCCACACCCTCCTTGTGTTGAACGAAAGAGCTAACATTTATTCACATGGTCTCTGTAATATCACTAAGAATGATAGATATTTAACGTCGTTAACAGAGTGATTTGTACTTGAAAAGAGAAACGTTTTAGACATGTCTGAAACTTTTATTGCGATGCGTCTGCAGAGAAAGAAACGGGATTATTAGCTAGCGATAAGCAGAAGCATCTCGATGCTTGAATACATGTTAGGACATTTACCACACAACTACTAGCGAGGTACATGCTTTGATTTTCTTTTTGTTTCGTATAAGTTTGGTACGAAATAATAATCAATCGCTTGTGCTACTTCTCATCGTCTTTAATGCAGATGGACGCGAGTTTCGTATTGAAACGCAGACTTTAATATGCAGAATAGGACAAAACGTGTGCAAATTTATCTGGTGGTTTATTCTAAACACATAACAGCTTGTGATATGCTTACGCAATCTCTTATCAAGACACATATCTCTGTTGGTGCATTGAGAGAAAGCAAACTCTATGAAAATATTGATTGGTATATAAATTAGTTTCCATTGTTATAAATAGAATTGTAGCAATGCGTCGAAAAAAGGGTTGGACGTGGGTGTGGGTATGGATCTGAGCCTGGGTTGGTTGATTAAGAGCAGAGTGATGTCCACACCCACATCCATACCTTCAAGTCCAATCTTGTTTGCCTGTTATTATCGAAGGAAATTAATATGTTCAACAGATAAACAGCCGTGTTAATTTTGAAATTTGAATCCAATTTTTAAAGTTCCTTCCAACCATTCAACTATCAAATGTAGAGTGAAGAACCAAAATGACCTTAATATCCACAGAGTCTCGGTGTGGGTGCAGACGTTTGCATAGTTGTGTGAGTATGAGGTGTGAACCTCAATATTTTCTTTTAACCAACCTACGTCCACATTCATGCTCTTAGAATAAAAAGAAAGCAGATACGACCTGTGTATCCCAATGAATATTTCCCTTTTTTGTGAATGAACTGTTTTCTGATAAAAAGGTTTCTCAAGTTCTAGAAGAAAGTACAACGATGAAGAGATTTTTTGATTAATAAAGAGTAAGGTTTCACTGAACATGTTCATGTGTGGTTCCTACGAATGTGCACTGTATTAATTAGATCCTATAGTTAAAGGATTGTTCATACTAAACTTAGATGATCAAATGAATATAAATACTAAAAAACAAACCGATTTTTAGAGAAGTTCTTCTAAACTGTCTGTTGCTTCGTTTATCCAAAGAGATCATTCTAATATGTAGAGAGTTTTATTGGTAATCATTTATGAAAGGCAACATATTTAATTTATTTGAAAAAGAGCTTGAAGAATTGATGAAAAAATTGACATCATTACTCAAAATTTACTGTTCAGTTGTCAGTTAAAAAGATCAAATGAAATCAATAAAAAATAGGTAGATCCTGTCAATCCTATTATCATCGCGTGAGAATAAATACAGATGGTATCAGCAGTATTTTGAAGATAATCAAGAAAAACAAAAGAATAAAAATAGACCTTCGTTTAGAGGTCCATACTAACCAAGTGTACGATCAACAGTTCTAGGTCAATTTCAAGGCATTACTGATAAAGGTGCAACTTTTGTTTCTTTATGCATATGGTTTGTTGCACAACCTGGTACAACAACTGATCTACATTGGCAATCACATTTCCAATGAGTGTACAAGAGACAATCAATTTGCATCAATATGCTGAAGATGTAGCATCCATTCAGAGTACAGTTGATGGTCATCGAGTACATTGAGATGTTTGTCTCTTATGGTTAGGCACTGCAGATTATCGAATTGGTAATCTAATTGATGGTTTTGGATATTATCATCTAAATGCTAGTGAATTTATATCACGTGTCGAAAAGACAATGGATAGTGTTCTTCAAGTACTTGCTAATGTCAAACATCCGGATGGTGCTTTGTTAGTTCAAACTATTTAGCTTGAAGGTGAAGTTATGATTGGAGGAAAAGCAAGTCAAGACTGGTTCCTTTCTACACATCATCCACGATTTCTACAGATTGTCACCAATGCTACTTTTACTCCAGCTGTGTATTCTGTAGTCGACGGACTTGAAGAACATGTTCTTCAAACCGATTATATTGATGGCCAATTTCCAGCTTTGAATGGACATTGATCGATGTATTGGATTTATCGTAGTCTAAATTTTCTAAAAAAAAATCAGAACTTACCATTACCATTACGTATTGACTTTTCTTGTTATATCGATCGTGATAAAGCCACTTATGCAAATTTAACTAAACATATTTTGAATGATGCATCAGCATCTTTGTCTGTTCTTGGTGCTTGTGATATATATGGTGTTGCTGAAACCTATTGTTTCATTGATGATACACAACGAAAAAAATATGGACAAGCATTTACATTAGAAGCTTTGTTTAATCCACATTGTTAATCGACTCAACTTTTGGACAACACTGATGCTGGAGAACAAGGAATAAATGTCGCTTATCCATTTGCTATTGAAGTTGAATTCACTGCTCATAAACAGTTCATGTATCTACATTTGAAAGATAACAGACCATTATCAGAAACATTTATTTGAATAGAGAAAATCAAGAAAACAATCAGTTCAATAATGAAAAGACAAAATCCGTATTAACTTATTCACAGGCAAGTCATATTGCATATTCAATTCACGTCGAAACGTTCTAAAGGTATTAACAGGATTAAAAGATGACAAAATTGAAAGGCACAGTAGCTTGAAAAGCATAAACATAAAATAGGATGAATTTAATTGTTCATGATCTCCTCACATGGATTCTCACTTTGCAAACTTCTCATTTATTCATGTTTCATAGATGTGTTGCAAAGGAACTAGAAATCAAGACAATTTAAAAGAATGCATTTTAACTCATGTATCTTATGTTGTGGTAAAACGTTTGCCGTCTCCTAGGTCAAAATCCTGGTTTTGACTGGCATCTATCGCCTATTTTCAATTGGTCAAATGATTATTATTATTTATATTTATTTTGTTCTTTTCTTTTACAACTCTATGATTGTGTCATACATTTCTTGAAATCTTACTCATTGTCTTTTAGTCTTTTACATTAATTCAAATGAGTGACACGTCGACGACAAAACAACTTAGTGGAGACATACTCTCTCCTCCATCTCAACATTCGGAAGTACCACTTGGTTCTTCTAAAGACAATAGTTCGAGTTCAACTAATGACAATAATAATTTGTAACCATAGTACTATTGTTTTTTTCTTTTTTATTAATTTTTTTTTCTTCTACTCATAGATCAACTTGGACACTTTCCAATCTTCAAAAAATAAATGTTAGTGAATTATACACACGACAACGTCAAAGTTTACGTTCATGGACAGAATTTTTTAATAAAAATCAATTTAAAACACCTGCTAATATTAAAGCTGGTAATAATAAGACCTTGGTTTCTATCAAAGAAAAATTATTTATATATTTTCAGGTGGTCGTCGAATTCTTTTAAATGTTGAACATTTTCAAACAAATTATGTTATTGTCATTATTGTTTTATCAATCTATTGCATGTAAAAATTTTTAAATGATTTATTTTGTAGCATTAAAAGATGTTTTTTTTTTATTCGTTGAATTAGCATTACAACACCAGCTTTACTTTTTGTTCTATTAGCAATGGGTGCTGGTTGTTATTTAGTTAGTTTAAAAAATCGTGAAAGTCAATTAGCAATTATGGGTAAAAAAAGTTTCATTCATCTATGAAACGATATTCTTATTATTTGGACTTTTCTTTTTATTAGGTCGTCAAATTTCACTAACTCAACAGTATTTAGCAGTGATGTGTCTTTGCATTCCATTACTTGTTATGGTTGGTGCTGGTTCAGCAATCTTTTGGATTCTTGGTAAATGAAATAAAATGATTTTTAAGTTGTTCATTTATTTTTGCTTTCAGGTGCCTCAGTTTTTGTCATATTTCTTCATGCACTGTTTCATCAAACACCAAATCAAGAAGCATTTGGAGTACAAATGGAAGAAGTTTAAGAAAATAAACAGAACACCTTCTGTTTAGTACTTTTTTTTTGACTATTTTTTCTCTCTAATTTTAATGTGATATTTTATTGGGAAAGCCCTTTAACGCTTACGCGCACTGAATCTGATGATATTTTTTATTGCACAGGTAACAAGTGATTATATCAGTTATTCTTTTTCGTTTGACAATACTAATAAAGAATACATATATATATATATGTATATGTACTAATTATTTTAGATGGCACCATCATCAGATTATATTATCGAATTTAAAATAGATGTTTTCAAAACATTAAAACTTGTTGGTATAACAACAGGTGTTTTGACAGCAATTGGTGTTGGTGCTTATTATATTAATCGACAATTACAAAGTTCGAAACGTGTTATTCTACGTGATGAAGTACGAAATATTCTTCGTCCATTTCAATTAACTGAAGAACAAATTCGCCGTGTTATGGCAAATTTAAATACTGAAATGACCAATGGTTTAAAATCTGATGATACAGCAACAAATGATTTAGCTATGTTTCCAACTTATGTACATCATGGACCAAGTGGACAAGAATCTGGAGAATATTTAGTTGTTGATTTAGGTGGTTCAAATTTTCGTGTCTCACATGTTGTTATTGAAGCAAGAAATCGAATGCGTTTAAATAATAAAATATTTCTTATTCCACATTCATTATTATTAGGTGAAGGTGAAAAATTATTTGATTATATTGCTGAATGTTTACAAAGATTTATTGATGATAATAAATTATCTTTACATAAATCAGCTGATGGCAAATTTGATTTAGGTAAGAAAATTTTTATTTTTATTTTTTTTATATTACTCAATTAGTTTTGAAAATTTAAAGTATTCACAATAACGAGATATTTATAGTATAGGGGTGTTTTGCTGTAGATCAAATATTTATGGATTGAACAATAGTTATGCATAGAAAAAAAAAACAAATAGAAAGATTGTAATAATAAAAAAAGCATCTGGTTATTGTTTAAGAACATGTCGAATGAATCTAACAAGCAAAATGTCACTCAAAGTGTTACAATCAAGAGAGAAACTAAATTAGTTGATTGTAAAACTAGTATTTCTTTTATGGAAATGGAAATTTACCTTTATATATGAGATACTGGAAATTTGACGTGACCATAGCTTTTTATTTATTGTTGATTGAAGAAAATAAATATTGTATAGTTTGTAGTGAAGTGTTAGTTAATTGTACGATTAAATAAAACGTTTTGAAAACAAAATGAATTCTAAATTAATTTTGTTTTGTTTTTCTTTTAGCTTTCACATTTAGTTTTCCTTGTAAACAAACAAGTTTAAGAGAAGCTACCTTAGTATCATGGACAAAAGGTTTTAGTTGTACAAGTGTTGTTGGTAATGATGTTGTTCTTATGTTACAACAGGCTATTAATCGACGAAAGGTATGAGTAATTCAATAAATTTAATAAACAATAGATAAATATTGTCATTCATATTTACTTTAGGGTCTCAAAATAGAAGTTGTTGCTTTAGTCAATGATACAGTTGGTACATTAATGGCTTGTAGTTCAACATATCGTGATTGTAGAGCAGGTGTTATACTTGGCACAGGTAAATAGATTATTAAAAGTTGATTTATTTTTCATTCAATAATATTGTTTTTAGGAACTAATGCATGTTATTTTGAACATATTGAAAATGTACCTAAATGGACAGGTCTACGAGATAATACAACCAAACAAATTATTATTAGTACAGAATGGGGTGCACTAGGAAAAGTTTGTAATCAATTTAGATTTATTCGTTTTATTGATGATGAATGAATGCGCTGATTTTATTTAGAATGGCTGTCTAGATTTTATTCGAACAGATATTGATCGTGAACTTGATGAGTCAAGTTTAACACCACAACAGCAAGTTTTTGAAAAAATGATTTCAGGTAAAAATGAACTTGAAAGAGAACTTTAATAAAAATAAAAATAATATTATTTTTAGCTCTTTATCTCGGTGAAATAGTTCGTTTAATTATTGTTGATTTGGTGCAACGTTCTATTCTTTTTCCTGGTCGTATGCAAAAATCACCTAGTATTCGACCTGATTATAATATATTTCTTATTCTAAGAGGTAAAATAAAAAAAACGATCAATAGAATATTAAAATAAAAGTTTCAAATGGCTTCATTTTAGGAAGTTTTTATGCGAAACATGTTGCAGATATTGAAAGTGATACAAGTAAGAAAAAACAAGCAGCGAATGAATTGAATGATATGTAAGAGAATAATACATGCTATGTATTTTAGCGGAAGATTTGTCAATCACTGCTACAATTCTTACTTCAATCGGTATTCATGAACCATCATATGATGATTGTTATATTATTCGAGAAGTATGTAAGACAGTATCACTTCGAGCAGCTAAATTAGCAGCAGCAGGTAAAAAGAGACAACTAATCGTATTATCTGCATGATGTCTTCATTAAAATTGAAAAAAATATTCTTATTTATATTCTAGCTATTGCTGTACTTATTAATCGTCTTAATATGCCTTCTGTAACAGTTGCTGTTGATGGTACACTTTTTCGTCATCATCAAAAATTCAAGAAAAATCTTATTCGAACATTAGATCGACTTGTGCCAAGAACAGTATGTTTTAATCGAATAAGTCTTATTATATTTTATCGAATCTACTTTTTCTAGCATCGTTTGGTTCTTTCGGAAGATGGTTCATCCAAAGGTTCAGCTTTAGTAGCTGCAGTTGATCGACGTTTAAAAACAGCATCAGCTACATATGAAAAAAGTTTTCCATCATAAATTATTATAGCAAAATAAAAACACTATTACTAATTCATTTTTCCCGCATGATTTTTAGACTAAAATATATTAATCTTATTGTTGTGTATGTTCTGTTCCTAGTCATTTTAGAATATAATATTTCTTCATTTAATGTCTTTTATCCTAGTCTTGCATTTGGTTTTGATTTTCTCTGCTTATAGATCTACATAATTTCGATCTTACATTGTGTTTTCGTCTTAGAAAAAGAATATATATATATATTTTTTGTCTACATTTCTCTCTTTTAATTTAGCCAATGAAGAATACACACATACTACTATAAAATACGCTTTTGTGGTTATTTTTCTTTAGATTTAGAATCATATGGTTCAATGGATGGACTTTATTTGCCTGATGGGCGTCATCTTGCATTAATTGATCGTGATTGGATTGTTGACGAATTACCACATTTAGGAAATCCTGACGATAATTCCGACGCTAATTATTTACTTGCATCAGCAGCAGCTGCTAATTGTAATACTAGTATAGTACCAGGTAGTTCAACAGGTCGAACTACATCAACGATTGGAACAGGAACTAGTTCATCACACGGAGCATCTCCTCATACGGGTAGTGGAACTAGTAGAACTGTAGATAGTACAGGAGCTACGAGTGGAAGTACCGGAGTAAATCATCACGGTACAGGAGTTAGTCATCATTATCCTCATAATTTATCATATAATCCAGACGAATTTGAAAGTGATTTAACATTACTTTCGGAAATTGTTGACGAAACACAAAATAAGTGGTCCGATTTTGGACTGAATCAATTACTTACATCATACGCACGTTCAAATCGACCAGTATTTAAATAAAATATCAAATATTTATTGAATTCATATTATTTTGTTTTTCTTTATATTTAATTTGTGTTATGCTTCCTATTCAACGTTATATGTTTCGCATTAAACGTTATTTTCTTCGATTGAGTCTTTCGTGTCGTAAACGACAAAAATTAAAACGTTTATTTAGAATATTTCTTATTTTAATTGTTGGTCTGTTAATTTTAAATATAATTAATGGTGTACTTTTTTCAAGTATATTATTTTTTCAAGAAAATTCGAATGAACCAGATTATGATCTTGATACACGTCCATATTATCAAACAATTGAAATGAAAAAACGTTTTGATATATCAGGAAATTATTTAATTGTACAAAATTTTGTACAATATCAAAGTAATTTAACAAAAAATGCCGATTTACTTGCACTTAATATACATACAACTATTGAAAAACTTCATTTATTATTAAATCATGCGAAGGTTTGGGATGGACCAATATCATTAAGTTTATATGTTAAAGGTACTCGAGCTAGTGATGATATTGATTATGCATCAATATGGCTTCGATGTAACCGTAGATTATTGAAAGTGCTGAATATTCATCTTGTTATGTCGGCAACAGCTTACGAACGTAAGATATTTAAATTACTAAGTAGCGAGAATACATCGATTATAATAATCAGATAGTGTTGAAGTCGTGAAAAATTATGTCTAAACAAAAACGCTTGTCAGCGTAGCCTCTTTTTGGAACTAAAAAGTGAAATTCACATGTGTTCTTTACCCTCGTTATACTAATATACAATAGATCAAGTGAATTTCTTCTTCTTATTATTATTCTAACCATCTGTTTAACTGACAAATGAGATTGTCATATGTATCGATGATGTCTAAAGCAGGTCCCAATGCACTATTATACATCTCAATAAGCACAGAAACACTGATATTGATTATTTCTCAAGGTTATAACTTGATAAGTTCACACTTTATATGATGACCGTGACAAATCAATGCATGGCTACTTATCATTCTTGCCATCTTCAATACAAATTTTTATCTGCGCAAAAATCAAATTGTACTATTTAGAACACTCACAAACGTATTCTAACCATTCCAATGTTGAGGAGAGCTTTGAAATGTTCTAGAACTTTTAAGTCTTGTTGTTAATGCTGTTCAGCGCCTTTTTTCGTTACTAAGAAGCTCAAGAAAAAGAGTTTGACACTATCTACTAAAAACTTACACTCATTATATTTTCCATCTAAAGTCATAATTTAAGGAGAAAAGATATCTGTAATAGTATAATCAATCCCTGAGAGAACACAGAAAAGAAAAACAAAAATAACAAAGCAATTTTACTCTACCGTGTCGAAAATTTTCATTGGTTTTCTCAATAAAAAAAGAAAATTGGAAAA